CCCTAAATGTCAGCTTTCCTGTTCCTCTGATGCTGCCTGGCCTGCTGTGTTCCTCCAGCTCCACACTTTGTTATCTATGTACAAAATTGTGCCTGTTTTAATTCAGCATGACAGGTTCTAGCCATTCTCTGGTCCAATCCTCAGGTCCATGTCTTGACCAATCAGCCAACCTGCCTGATTTAAATTGAAATAAAGTTTGGTGGTTAACCATCAATTATTCTAGAACTTCTGCATTGTCAATCAATCAGTGTTCATTTACTTACTAACTAATTGGTACTCTTGTCTCATTCAGCATAAAGTGTTGTTCCCCTTTACAGTGGTACCCATACAGTGTTGATCCTGGCGCGTGCAAGATGAAAAGTTTTGATAAAATGTATCTATTTTCAGTATTTATCATCCTCCTTAAACTGCTTCACTCTGTGTGCTGAAGGTGTTGATGTTGGTGGCAACAATGTTGTCAGCTGAGAAGTTACAGGTTATCCCTCAGTGATCACAAGAGAACAATGACCTATGTCCAGGTCAGGAACACTAATTTGTAATGTAGCGTACCGTTCATGAAATACAACATTTCAAGTCATTTCACAGCATGTTATAAAACAATGTTTAATCCTGAGTCATGTGAATATTACAAGAAGTAACTAAAAGCATGGTTAAAGAGATCAGGGACATCAGTGAGCTTTTTAATGATAGTCCAGTCCCTTTCATGGTTACCTTATCCAAGTGCCAGCCCCCACAAATTTCCAGATTAATTCAGATCAGTTTCCCAGCCTGCATTTGTGTTATTGTGGGTTCTGATTTGTTCCTCTTTTCTGTTTTAAGTCAATTTCACAGGAAGGGAAGGAAAGTTTTGTGTTGGAAACTCCGCACACAAAAAGTCTTGACAGGATCTGACTGAGTCACCCAAATTATTCTAATCTGAATCTCATTGGATGTTGAGCATGGAAAGACAAAACACCATTCGTGGTGGAGAAAAACCATACACATGTTATGTGCGTGGTCGTGGATTCAGCCAACCACCTGACCTTTCAAAACAGAAGAAGAATCATACTGGGAAGAAACCATGGAAATGTCGGGATTGTGAGGAGGGATTCAGATTCCCATCTGAGCTGGAAATTCACCAACGCACTCACACTGGCGAGAGGCCATTTATCTGCTTCAAATGTGGGAAGGGGTTCACTCAGTCATCCCATCTGATGGCACACCAGCGAGTTCACACTGATGAAAGACCTTTTAAATGTCCGGATTGTGGAAAATGCTATAAATGTTCTGGAGAATTGATGCGCCATCAGCGTGTTCACACTGATGAGGGACCATTCAGGTGCTCTTATTGTCAGGCTGGGTTCAAGATTTCATCTCGACTCTCTGTACACCAGGGAGTTCACACTGTGGAGAGAATGGTCACCTGCTCTGAGTGTGGGAAGAGATTCAGTCAATCTTCCAACCTGCAGACTTGCACTCGTAAGAGACTGTTCACCTGCGCCATGTGTCAGAAGAGATTTGTTCACTCATCCAATCTGCTGAAACACCAGCGAGTTCACAGTGATGAGAGACCTTTTAAATGCTCAGACTGTGGGAAGTGCTATAAAAGTCCCCAGGAACTGATGTCCCATCAACGTGTTCACACTGATGAGAAACCATTCAGGTGCTCTCATTGTACAATGGGGTTCAGGCGATCATCTGACCTCACTAAACACCAGCGAATTCACACTGGGGAAAGGCCATTCACTTGCTCCAAGTGTGGGAAGGGATTCACTCAGTCATCTAGCCTGCTCAGACACCAGCGAGCTCACAAGTAATGACAGTGGTTACATTTTGCCATTAATCACATACAGCAATGAACAATGTCTATTGGGGTCTGATTCTGCTAATATTAATAATCTCTGGTTATAAATGTTAATATTCCAATAAATCAACTTGGTGTTAAACATACCATGTGTTTTATAAGCTGTATCAGACACTAGTTCCTGTTGACTGCACCACTGACCCTGCTAAAGATTGTAGGCTCAGGTAGTGGGACCTCCAGAGTGTACTCTGAGAAAGCTGGTTTCAGTATTGACACTAATCTCTGATGAGGAAACTGAGGAATTCTTACTCCTGAGTAAGAACTGAGTTTTACCTGTCATAGAATCCCTAACAGAGTGAAAACAGGCCCTTTGGCCCATCAAGACCACGCAGGCCCATCAAGTCCACGCAGACCCTCCAAAGGATATCCCATGCAGACCCATCCTCTGTAACACTGCATTTCTCATAGCTAACACACCAAGCCAGCACGGAATGGGCAATTTGGAATGGCCAGTCTACCTGCATATCTTTAGACTGTAGGAGGAAACTAGAGCACCTAGAGGAAATCCATGTAGACACAGGGAGAACGTGCGAGCTCCACACAGACAGTCAGCTGAGGGCGGAATCGAAACTGGGTCTCTGGTGTTGTGCAGCGGCAATGCTAACACTGAGCCACTGTGCCATTCTGTTGGTGTAGATCGAGGGGTGAATGATGCCTGACATCCTGAATGATGATCTAGAGCCATTAAGGTACAATTGAGAGTAGATTGAAACTGATTGCCAGGCTGTGAGAGAGCTCTTGAATGAATGTTTTACATCAGTCTGTGCTCCTGTGGATTCACAGATTCCAGCTGTGGGATCTGATGTCGGCAATAATAATATCAGTATTACAATAAGGATTGACATCCTAGATAAAACTGGAAATTTCAAACCGGATCACACTTTAGTGGAGTGCTGCAGGGTTCAGTGCTGGGACCTCAGCTGTTCACAATATACATTAACATTTGGATGAAGGAATTGAGTGCCGTATTTCCAAATTTGCAGATGACACTACGCTGGATGACAGTGTGTGCTGTGAGGAGGACGCTAAGAGGCTGCAGAGTGACTTGGACAGACTGGCTGAGTGGACACATACTTGGCAAATGCGGATAATGTGGATAAGTGTGAGGTTATCCATTTTGGTCACAACCAGAAAGGCAAATTATCTGATTGGTAGCAGTTTAGGAAAAGATGAGGTGCAAAGAGATGTGGGTGTCATAGTGGAACAGTTGCTGAAGGTTGGCATGGAGGTGCAGCTACCTCTAGCACATTCCAGCAAGTGGGTTCCATACCCTAACTGCTCACTAAGTGAAAAAGCTGTTCTTCATTTCACTCTTGCTTCTTCTATCGAACGCTTTAAACCAATGCCCTGTTGTTGCTCTTTTTATGAGCTGGAATAGTTTCTCTTTATCTACTCTATCCAACCTGCTCGTGATTTTGCCCAATTCCAACCCCTCGGATAGTGATAGTGTGAAAGACAAAGAAGGGCAAACATCCCTACAGCCATTGCATTGCTCTTCTTAACCATCAGCTTTCCTTCCTTATCTAAACATCTTGTATCCAGGAATATTGAACACTAGGTCTCTTAGTGCCGGAACACCACAATCGCACTCACCAAAAATAATTTATTCTTTTCCATTCACAAAAATGCACAGTAACTGTGATTTAAACGATTTAAAATTCTCCAACTCCACCTCCTAAATTGGGCAAGTATATTATTTGATTGACATCTGTTAATTGAGAAGGCATTTGGCACACTCGCTTTCAGTGGTCAGTACAATGAGTATAGGAGTTGGGACATCATGTTGCAACTATACTGAGGCTACTTCGAGAATACTGCATTTAATTCTGATCTGCCTGCGATAGCAAATATGTTGTTAAACTTGAAATGGTTCAGAAAAGATTTACAAGAATGTTGCTTGGATTGGTGGGTTTGAGCTATGGGGAATGGCTGAAAAGGCTGGGGCTATTTTCCCTGGAGCATTGGAGGCTGAACAGCGATCTTCTAGAGGTTTTTAAAATCACGAGGTGCATGGATAGGGTGAATAGCTAACATCTTTTTCCAAAGGTAGTGGATTCTGAAACTACAGGGCATAAGTTTAAGGTGAGAGGGAAAAGATTTGAAAGGGACCTGAGGGGCAACTTTTTCTTGCAGAGGGTGGTGCATGTATGGTATGAGTCTGTATTGAGTAGCTGGTGAAGGCAGGTGCAACTGCATCTGGAGGGGTACATATACAGGAAGGGTTTAGAGGGATATGGGCCAAATGCTGGAAAACGGGACAAGATCTGGATATCTGGTCAGCAGTGTTGGACTGAAGGGCCAGCTTCTGTGCTGTGTCACTCTGTGACTCTATTCTAATGCTAGCTGTCCTGGTCTCTCCCAGTGTTTTGTGCATCCTCCTACTCCTCTCTGATATTAATTCCAAAATCCCAAACCCCTGCTGATTTTACTTTAAACCCTTTCCAAACACTCCAACAAAATGCTGCAAGGAACTTAGTGCCAGCTCTGTTTAGGAACAAACAGTCCAACGTGAATGGCTGCCATCTGCTCCAGAGCAGGTCACAGTGACCGAGGAGTCAGGTGGGAGGTGGGTGATGTTTCTGGGGGTGACTTCATACCACTGGAGGTGGGGTCAGACCAATTGGGAAGGAGGGGGTATATTGGAAATATCATTTCAGGTGAGGGGCTTGTCGTGTCTGGCGATAGGAGGAGTTCAACAGGAATGACAGTTGGAGAGTAGAGAGGGTGTAAATGGGTCAGGTTGGTCGGGTGGAAGGAGGTGGGGAAGTGGTGTTTGGATGGAGAGTAATTGACAAGGGTGTAAGTGGCAGGGAGATGTAGTTGGGAAGGGGAAAGTTTAAGATTGAGTTCTGGGTCTGTTTAATAATTGCCAGGGATTTAGAGTGAGTTTTTATTCACTAACTTTCCTTGGCAACTATTGAGCTTAAGTGAGTCTAACTTGGTAACTTGAATCATCAGAAGTTTTGATGTTGTACGGGGCTTTTTCAGAAGCTTCCAGATGTAGGAGAGTTGTCCATTGGAAGTTTCAGAATCCCAGGAAATTCCCATGGAATCTATTACATTAAGTTTCTGCACTGTCACAATGTACAACTCCAATCTATCGTGCTCCAACACCTTTCTGGCCAGTGGGATCTGGGGCTCTTTACAGAGGAGGCAATACAGAGATTCCCTCAATCCATTCATTGGAGTTTAAAAGAATGAGAGGTGATCCATCAAAATTGATGTAACTGGTGCAAAAGACTGAACCAGCTCCTGTCTTTCCAACCTTCTCAGATGGTCGCAGAATCATTACGGCGCAGAAGGAGGCCGTTCGGTCTATTGTACCTGCTAAAATGAGCTGGCTGTCCAAATGAGCATCATGACTCAGTGCCATTTTCCTGCTGTTTTCCCCATATCCTTGCAGACTATTTCTATCCAAAAATTCCTCCTTTTCTCTCTTGAATATCTCAATTGAACCTGTCTCAATCACATTTCCAGGCAGTACATTCCACACCCTTCTACTCACTGGGTGAAAAAGTTTTTCTCACTTCACATCTATCGAGACCCAGGACATTGTGATTTTGAGCGTAGATTGATAGGGTTTATCATTGGTGTCAGAGAGCTTCATTGCTGTTTGTTAAAGTGTAGATTGATAGAGATTTAACTGATGTAACAGAGCTGTATTACACCATGTTAGCGTGTACATTGTTTAGGTTTATTACAGGTGTAACAGCTTTATCACACTGTGTAATAGTGTAGATTGATCGGATTATTACTGTTGTAACAGAACTTTATTACGCTGTGCTAAAGAGTAGATTGATAGGGTGTAATTCCTGGTGTAACAGAGCCATGTTAGACTGTAGATTGATAGCAATTATTACTGGTGTAACAGAGCTTTATCACACTGTGTTAGAGTTTAGATTGGCCATCACGAAGATGAAAGGTCTGAAGGTGGATAAATCACCTGCACCAGATGGATTACACCCCAGAAGTCTGAAGGAGATTGTTGAGGACACTGTAGAGGCATTGTCGGTGATCTTTCAAGAATCATTGGAATCAGGGAGGGTCGTAGAGAACAGAAAATGGTGAATGTAACACCCCTGTTTAAGTGGAGAAGGGGGCAGAAGTCAAGAATCTATAGGCCAGTTAGCCAGCCTGACCTCAGTTGTTGGTAAGATTTTAGAGTCCATTTTTAAGGATGAGATTGCATGTTCACGGTAAAATAGGGCTGAGTCAGCACGATTTCATCAAGGGCAGGTCATGCCTGACAAATCAAAATTAGATTCTTCAAGCAGTAACAATCAAGTTGGACAAAGGAGGTCAGGTGGATGTGCTCGATTTGGATTTCCAGAAGTCCTTTGACAAGGTGCCCCACAGGAATCTGATGAATATGATAAGAAGGCAGCACAGTGGCTCAGTAGTTAGCACTGTTGCTTCACACTACCAGGGACCTGGGTTCAATTTCAGTCTCAGGCGACATTCTCCCCATGTCTACATGGGTTTTCTCCAGGTGCTCTAGTTCCCTCTCACAGTCCAAAGATGTGCAGATTGGGCCATGCTAAATTGTCTGCAGTTTCCAGGAGATATATAGGCTTGGGGGATTAGCTATGAGGAATGCGCGGTTATAGGGATAGGGTACCAAGGGAATCTGGGTGTGATGCTGTTCGGAGAATTGGTGTGGACTTATTGGGCCGAATGGCCTGTTTCCACACTGTAGGGAGACGACGGAGTCTAAAAGAGACAGCTATTGGCATGGATAGAGACTGGCTGACTTGGCAGAAGGCAGACAGTAAGGAAAAAGGGGTCTATTTCAGGATGGCACAGTTAGTGACTGGTGCAGTTCCACAGATGTCCGTGTTGGTACCATAATTATTCATGTTATACATTCACGATCCAGACAAAATAACGAGGGCATTATTGCTAAGTTTACAGATGACACAAAGAGGTCAGGTACTGGTGAGGAAGTGGGGATTGAGAACCATAGCAACCATAATCAAATAGCGGAGCAGACTCAATGGGCCAATGAAAATTGATTAAAATTAACAATATACTGTCACACCAAAAGCACAGCAAGATCCCACCACTCACTGACTTCTGCAATCATATA